TATGTACGCGTCAGCGGGAACATCATCCATAGGATTATGGTGCCAAGCAAAGGAGGCCCACCACTTATCATACCATGTCTTGTGTACAAAGAGACGGATATTTGAATTGTTTTGTACATAATAAGTTATAAACTTCTCTTCAGTTGTTTCACTTGCGTAAAAGGAAAACTGAGAAGGATATTTATATTAAAATGATTATAAAACGACGAAGAACTAAGAAATGTAGTATTTAATGGTAAGAACTGAGTCGCATAGCTGCTGCTGCAAATTCTGGCTGGAGGCTATCTAGACTTTCAGTGTAGAGAATCGAATCGGCTATGGAAGAAGTCTCGGCTGAGATTTTTGAGCTAAATATGTCATAAAAGCCACTATAAAAAGTCGTAATCTTATTGTAGAGGAGATGCTTACCTTGCAAGCTTAGCACACGCATTTAACTCTTCAATCACCCAGGGCTCCAGCTGAAAGCAGTCAATATGCGAGGTGGATTTGGATCGCTGCATGAAACATTTACATCTTCCTACAATCCAAAGGTCCGCGAGTCTACTCAACAGCTCGCTGACTTTGGACATTGAACATCTGGACGGCGTATAATCTATATTGGAGTAATCCAAACACATAGTCCATCCATAGAAAGAAATAGAGCAAATATAAGTTTGAATGTTAATGCTTGGAAGAAGAAAAAGTTTGCCCTCATAGCTGATTTTCTATGGGGCTCGGAGAGGCGCTTGGGCGTGGAGAGAGGATAGTGGTATGCATTTGGTATGCGACGAGCAACATTTGTCTGACCATCTTCAACATTAGGCCACCATTCTCATCTCGCCATCCTTCAACCTTTTACGTGTGCGTTGCATTGTGTGTGTGCCTGTCTATCTTGTTGCTGTCAGTAGTGTCACATCTTTCACTTCATATACACCACAACTGACTAATGGAGATTCAAAATGCATTTCAAATTCAATGGGACAAAACGCCGTATCAATCTTTTACGGAATATTTCTTTGCAAAAATCCCGACGCACGGCAGCAATCTGGCCATTGTGAGCATGAGATGTTAGCATTTTCTAAAGTTACATTGGCCATTCCTCTAAATTTCATATTTTCAGGTTGATGTCGATACCGGTAAACAGTGGCGATACTCGGAAATCAGGGGATGGTGTGACATGTGCAGCATGCGTCTTAGGGAACTTCAGGTACGCCCCTATTCTAATCTATTTCGGTTACATTTGTCTACAATGGTAAGCTGTAATCTTAAATCATTGTGTCAGGTATCATCAACTAGCAGAGTGGCTGTAATAACCGGAACTACTGGTATGAACAGCCCAAGTTATTCTTCAACATTCTTAAAATTAAATTGAATAGGGCAAGCGATTTTTGTTCACCTCGCATGTGCTATGATAGGTTGTACTGCAGTAGCTGTAAACGGATGGGGCACAGTGGGTAAGCTTGCTCCTTAACATACTCAAGCTCATTTAATAAAAATTATTGTTTCTCTTCTCAGATGAGATCTGGCAAGTTGTGGATCTGAGCGAAGCGACACACCTAATCGTGGAATCGCAGTTCATGCAGAAGGTGAGATGAGTCATTAAATTGAAAATAAGACAAAACTAGCTGGTAAGACTTGTACAGGCTGAAGATGTTCGAAGAAAAGCTCAAATGAGAGGAGGTGGACGAATCAAACATGTACGACCGATTGACGACGTACTCACTACGGATGCTATCGAAGCCAAGAGGAGGTTAGAAACGAGCAGCAATGGCAGAATGGAAAATTATTTTGTGCTTATTTTTGTAGACTTTCCAGGAATCCTCTCATCAAAGAAGCATCATCAAATAAGATTACGTGGGTTTACCTATCTCGGAGGGTGTTACAAAACGTTACTTATTTCGGCAGGTGTCAGTGGTTGATGTGAGGCTCCTAACTATTTCTACTTGTGCAATTACAGTGTTCCAAGAATCCCTTCACCTGAAGGGACGCGTGCTGATGCTGTCTGCTCGCCTATTTCTGATGCTTCCGAGTCCAAAGTTGTTCACTTATGATATTCCATATGAGCCCTACTCGAAGTAAATGTTTGGCAGGAAAACGGAACTGATGAGCCTTCTGAGAGCCCACCAGAAGCGCCAACTCCTATAAATCCAATCGCTGGACAAAATCCGTTTTTGATGTTTTTTACGAGCGGAACTACGGG